ATATAGACAGTAATAACAGTGGACAGATATAGACAGTTATAACAGTGGACAGATATAGACAGTAATAACAGTGGACAGATATAGACAGTTATAACAGTGGACATATATAGACAGTAATAACAGTGAACAAATATAGACAGTAATAACAGTGGACAGATATAAACAGTTATAACAGTGGACAGATATAGACAGTAATAAAAGTGGACAGATATAGACAGTTATAACAGTGGACAGATATAGACAGTAATAACAGTGGACAGATATAGACAGTTATAACAGTGGACAGATTAAACAGTTATAACAGTGGACAGATATAGACAGTTATAACAGTGGACAGATATAGACAGTTATAAAAGTAGACACATATCGACAATTATTTCAGTAGATAGATATAGACAGTTATAACTGTTGACAGTAACAGACAATAATAACAGTGGACAGATATAGACAGTTATAACAGTGGACAGATATAGACAGTTTTAACAGTTGGCAGTAACAGACAATAATACATATGGACAGATATAGACAATAATAACAGTGGATAGATATTGACAGTAATAACAGTTGGCAGATATCAAAAGAGACATAACAGTGAGGTGATAACAGTTGACAAATATAGACAGAATTAACAGTAGACATATATCGACAGTAATATCAGTGGACAGATATAGACAGTTTTAACAGTGGACAGATATAGACAGTTATAACAGAGGACAGATATAGACAATAATAACAGTGGACAGAGATAGACAGTAATAACAGAGGACAGATATCGACAGTTAAAACAGAGGACAGATTTAGACAGTAATAACAGTTGACAGATATCGACAGTTATAACAGAGGACAGATATAGACAATAATAACAGTGGACAAATATAGACAGCAATAACAGTGAATAGATATCGACGGTAATAACAGTGGACAGAGATAGACAGTAATAACAGTGGACAGATATAGCCAGTTATAACAGTGGACAGATATAGACAATAATCACAGTGGACAGATATCAAAAGAGACATAACAGTGAGGTGATAACAGTTGACAAATATAGACAGCAATAACAGTGAATAGATATCGACGGTAATAACAGTGGACAGAGATAGACAGTAATAACAGAGGACAGATATAGACAATAATAACAGTGGACAGAGATAGACAGTAATAACAGTTGGCAGATATCAAAAGAGACATAACAGTGAGGTGATAACAGTTGACAAATATAGACAGCAATAACAGTGAATAGATATCGACGGTAATAACAGTGGACAGAGATAGACAGTAATAACAGAGGACAGATATCGACAGTTATAACCGAGGACAGATATAGACAATAATCACAGTGGACAGATATCAAAAGAGACATAACAGTGAGGTGATAACAGTTGACAAATATAGACAGCATTAACAGTAGACATATATAGACAATAATAACAGTGGACAGAGATAGACAGTAATAACAGAGGACAAATATCGACAGTTAAAACAGGGGACAGATTTAGACAGTAATAACAGTTGGCAGATATAGACAAGAATAACAGTGGACAGATATCAAAAGAGACATAACAGTGAGGTGATAACAGTTGACAAATATAGACAGCAATAACAGTGAATAGATATCGACGGTAATAACAGTGGACAGAGATAGACAGTAATAACAGTTGGCAGATATAGACAATAATCACAGTGGACAGATATCAAAAGAGACATAACAGTGAGGTGATAACAGTTGACAAATATAGACAGCATTAACAGTAGACATATATAGACAATAATAACAGTGGATAGATATTGACAGTAATAACAGTTGGCAGATATCAAAAGAGACATAACAGTGAGGTGATAACAGTTGACAAATATAGACAGCAATAACAGTGAATAGATATCGACGGTAATAACAGTGGACAGAGATAGACAGTAATAACAGTGGACAGATATGAACAGAGACATAACAGTGATGTGATAATAGTGGACAGGCCCCGCTAACCATTCGGTGCACTGCAGTATACGTTACCTCTTAGATTAACGTTGAGCCTAATTAACACGGCATTGTCTCCGACAGCCTCCTTCACCAGTCATGTCCGCCTAATCAATACAGGCGTTTCTTTTAGTGGCATCTAAGATCTATATATATGTACTCCTCTGTCGATATATGGCAGGCAGCCGATAGTCTTGTTAGCACATCCTCACCAAAAACTCTCATCAACGATAGGATACAATGTACGTCAAAACACAATGTACTAACTGACATCTGGAAGCAAGGCTCCTGCATCTAAATCGCTACAACTCTATGATATAGTTCCTTAGATCACATACACACGATTCAATGCACGCGCATATTAGAGGTTAGCACGTGCTATGTATAACGGCATGGCCTCTGAAGTTAGTTTAGAGTCCCGGATATTGCGGTCAATATCTGAGCTGGTCCACTCCGACTTCAGCGATTAACGGTCGGCGGTGAGTGGTCAATATGTGACGTAGCGCTATGAAGGCTGGACCAAGTACTGATATGTAGTCGACGGCCCCGTCACCCCCGCCCTGGAGACCTTGAAGTTGATGACTTTGTATGACAGTCCATACGTCACAGCCACACTGGTGTATCAGTGGTGACAGGTTTGGATTCACAATATCAAATCAGAACTGGGTTACTTAGGTCCATATGGTTTGTATTTGAAATTCACCGTAAACGTTGTATTTTTGCTTTATTATCCACAGTTTGGAACATTTTTGAAACCATTTTTGTGTATTGCTCAGCTATTTCGAATTCAACAACGATTGCATGACAGGTCACATCTGGAACTAATTATCAAACAGGAAACAAAGTCATCCCTAGGCGACCCCAGTACTCCCAACTCTAATCCAAGCCGTCCCGATACTCGGGGAAACAATAAGTATTTATTAAATATTAATGACAAACATGTCAACTGGAGACCATTAAAATGTTAATTTTGTAATGAACTACACAGCGTTGATAAGCGTACATGATTTAAATTCGTCTGTCAAAATGAATTATAAACATTGTGCTATCATTTCTTTCTGAAATAATTGTCCCTCTCTCCCCTTCATGTCGTAAACATGCTTTTAATATTCAACTGATAGTCCTTCCGATAGTTGGCTGCCATTTGCATTGACTTAATTTGAGATTGTAGAGAACTGGTGATGACATTATTAAAATTGTTTGCTAGGATTGCGTTGATAATACACTAAGCAACATAAATATATACTTTGTGACTAACAGTAGCTGCTACAGAAAACCTTGCGCTTTCTATACAAACTGAAAAAAATGATGGATTTCTATAAAACAGAGCAAAATGTAATGCATCGTAAGAGTGATGACAATGGAGGGTATGCTGTGGGAGATTTTATATCACCTGCAAACGCAGCATTCTACAGTGGATGTTTGTAGGAAACGTCATCATTACAGATAGTGTCCACCGTGTTCCTTGTATTGAAACCATATTGCTTACCAATTAGTTTTATTATCTCGTTTGATAGAATTCTTGAAAAAAGATAAAATCTAATCGGCAATTCTTAACAATGGCAATAACATAGATTTAAAATGGCCGTCAACTACACACAAACAAATTGTTGAATGATTAAATATATCTAAGAGATGAAGAGGAGACACTAACACGTGAAACCAATGAGAATACACAGCGTATATAGCTTACCGTCTCCATCCTGTTAGCTTCAATTTGAAATTGTGCACTTAGAAATGTAGCGAACTTATAAGCGATTTCGCGTGCTTATATTTACATTTCCACTGCGAATTTCTCTATAGGCATTACCAGAAGAAATTGCGTTCATAAAGCTATGAACGCAACTTAATCAACGTCATTTTGAAGCTTCTCCTCCCGCCTCGAATAACATAAGACGACCGTTAGAAGCAAACATTTGGTGACGTTAGGCTGTTCAGAAAATGTGTATGTACTGACGACACAGGCACTCCAATATCGAAAATATAAGGGAAAAGCTGTATTTGGGTCAATACTTACTGAAATATTGAGAATGTAAATATTAGGATTAAACGGAATATTTTTCAATGTTCATGCCGGTACGAATGCTAATCGGTTACATAAACAGCGGGCATCATGGAATAGGTATGCAACTGATTTGCGTTCGTACCAGCATGACATTGGAACAAGTGCCGTCAAATCTTATAAAGGCCTTCGATTTGAAGGTTAATTTAAATGCTTTTTCTATCAATTTGCGATGATGCCATGTTCTTTTCTACTTACTTAATATATATATATAAAGAAGCATTTCAAATCCTAAGCACGAGTCCGAAGTCAATATACTCATTACTGCTAGAAGTGCCCAGTATCGGGGACGGCTCGGATTAGAGTTGGAGTACTGGGGTCGCCTAGGGATGACTTTGTTTCCTGTTTGATAATTAGTTCCAGATGTGCCCTGTCATACAATCGTTGTTGAATCCGAAATCGCTGAGCAATACACAAACAGGCCAGGATCGAACAAAGTTACTTTCAATTGTCGGCATACGATATGCTTTGGAACGCATCAGTGTTCTTTTTCCATTTTGCTGAATAAATAGCCCCTAGGGACAGGGGCACATTAAGCTGAACATTGAAAAAATACATTAAATGTGGACGGGAAATAAAACATTTCCATAGGAAGAAGGAACCCGGTAGAACATAAAGCCGGCAGACAATGGTCAAAGTACACGGTACTTGTATCTAAATCATACCGAAGATAGTGTAACCCAGAGGCTACCAGTAGCCGATACGGTCGATAACATGTTACAGTATCAACCGGGTTTCTTTCCCGGGACATTGTGTAACAATTAAATAAAACCCGTTTCAATGAAAGTAACAGCAAAATGGACAATCTTTGGTACTTTAATGGATGTGATTTTGTTTTTGTGAAATGTTAGTTACAGCTGAAACAGTTGGCTCTCTCAATTAAGTGACCTATATGGGACAAGTTACAGACTAATTGGCTCTAAACATTCACAGACAGGTACTGATGGAGTTATCACTTTTACGTTCAAATTGAGTGGTGTTCCGAGTGAAGTCTAATCAACGACATAACATTAGGAGGTGCAATGTATCACATGTGTATACTTTGGTCCCTTTCGTTTATCTGGTTAAACTTTTTCAACTGGTTAAACCTAAAAAGAAACGACAGGATCAGATCTGGACCGATGCTGACCTCTTGAAAATAAAAATGGTACAAAGTCTATTTGCATATGCATCTCGGGAAATGTTGTAAAATTTTGTGCAAGAGATAAAGAAACACACAGAATTCTTAATTCAATGACAAGACCATGAAACTGTATATCTTGAGCTCTGCCTGTTTGGTGCCACCTTGACTGTTTCAACCACACACACCGACGAAAGTAATTTTTGTCTGTCTTGTACTGTTCTGTCAGAGGCGAAGATTGGGAAGATTGCATTTTTGAGTATTACTGTATGAAACAATAATATGTTTACACATTCTTTCCGATTGTGTGACAATTATCGTTGCACAAGATGGATAGTTCTGTTGAACAAGACTAAGAAAAAGAATGAACCTGAATAAATTGACCTACACCTTTGTAACAGCTAAGGCTATTTGACGACGGAGAGCATGAATGAAATGTCGTTCTTCCTAAAGCAATAAAACGAATATTAACATCATTTTTTTAAACTAACAGTTCGTATCTCATTTAAACCACCTTTGAAAGCGTTTTAACTCGGGTTGTCATCTTTAATCTCGGTTTTAATATACGATGTGTAGTTCCAATGGTAGCACATACAGCATTCGTGATTTTTTTGACTGAAAGAACGGAATTGTTTATTGTATATAGGAATGTTTGGCGCCATTCCATATTATTAAGCGCAGATCTAAGTATGCTATCTATACACAATTTGACATATTGATAACGCTTTTAAATCATTGACCTTGTCCCCTTATCGGTTGGGGAGGACAGTTGTTACCTGGCTTTATACATGATGTACATGTTTTTACAATAAGTATTATACTATGTACGGCTAGACTTGGTCTCCGAGCCTGGTGGCTGATGCTTGCCGGTAATGAGGAGAACTCCCGGTCCCTTTGGTGTCAGGAAGTGCCTGCTCACAGGCCAAAATGTAAATGTAGCATTTCACTTAGAACCAGATAATGTATTTATAACTACATACCAAATGGCATATTTGGGGACAAAGCTCTGCCTTAATCCCGTCAGCGTCCACTAAGTCGATCTGAACTCGTGTCCGTTCTATCCTTACGAGGTTAGCCTTAAACCGCAATCAGAAACCTGTCAATGGGTGTTTAGGGTATTCTTTACAAACAGTGTCTGATCATAGCATGATTTGCCTTTGTCAAAAACAGCATTTAACGTCATATTTGTTTTATTTTTTCATATAACAAGGCAAGATTTGTATCTTTTATAATTAAGTTGTTTGAGAAGGAGTTGTCGTCATCAGTATCCTACAACGTAACAGTAGTTAGAAAGAGAAGCAGGTTTGTGTTTACAGCACTGTCTTAACAATCATTGAGGGACATCGCTCTCACCATCTAATATAGAGAGACCTATTGGATTAAGTAGTGTACACATCCCTAAAGCACGGTTTTAAGCGAGTAATTTCCGGCGAATGTCGGCTTTATATTAGAGGGAGCCGAGATAAGAAGGTACATGTACACACTCATTTGTAAGACATTTCTTGTATTATTGAGGAAAATCTATAAATCATAAAAAAACGACAAATCCTCAACCTATGTTGTAGTTTTATTACAGGCTCAATGCAAGCGTTATTTGGCACTAATCAAATATGTTCCATTCTTGAGTGCTACAGAACTGCGTCGTTACGGGAGTAAGTGTCTAACCACGTGTCATGTAGCAAGGTTTTACTGACGGAAGTGATGTATGGGGTCGGGCTGACGGTAGTGATGTATGGGGTTGGACTGACCGAAGTGATGTATGGGGTTGGACTGACGGTATTGATGTATGGGGTCGGGCTGACGGTAGTGATGTATGTGGTTGGACTGACCAAAGTGATGTATGGGGTTAGACTGACGGTAGTGATGTAAGGGGTTGGACTGACGTTTGTGATGTATGGGGTTGGACTGACGTTAGTGATGTAAGGGGTTGGACTGACGTTTGTGATGTAGGGGGTTGGACTGACGGTAGTGATGTATGGGGTTGGACTGACCGAAGTGATGTATGGGGTTGGACTGACCGAAGTGATGTATGGGGTTGGACTGACGGTAGTGATGTAAGGGGTTGGACTGACGTTTGTGATGTATGGGGTTGGACTGACGGTAGTGATGTAAGGGGTTGGACTGACGTTTGTGATGTATGGGGTTGG